CACATCTCAGAGGTGGCATGGATGCTCTGCTCCTGTGCCTGGGAGAAAGATGCACCATCAATAGGAATTGGGAATGCAGAAGAAGGGACTGACGGGGTTGGGGGGGATAAGAAAAGCTAGGCATGAACATCCAACAGGAGATGTCTACAAGCTGTGCACAGGAGATCACAGCCAATGAATGAGCTGGAAAGTTGGCTTGGACCTCCAGAAAGAGCCAGACCCTGAGATACTGAAGTCATGATATGGGGAGATAACCGCTGCTGTGTGGTTTCCTGCACAGGAGGGGGTGAGAAGAGAAGGGAGGCAAGAATGCGGAACTTGTGGTTGAAAAAGGACGAAGAGGCATAGAATCTCCCAGGAAACTGGAATGCCTGAGATGGAAAGACCTGGGACAGTCCAGTGCTTGCTTGTACATCACAGAAAGAAACTCTGGAAAGTCACATATCTAAAAGTCGGTAGAGGGGCCGGCGCTGTTACATAGTGGGTAAAGCTGCCGCCTGCAGTGCCGGCATCCCATATGGGTGCTGGTTCGAGTCCCGGCTGCTCCACTTCTGGTCCAGCTCTGCCATGGCCTGGGAAAGCAGTAGAAGATGGTCCAAGTCCTTGGGCCCCTGCACCCGTGTGGGAGACCTGGAGGAAGCTCCTGGCTCCTGGCTTCGAATCGGCTCAAGCCTGGCCATTGTGCCCAATTGGGGAGTGAACCAGCAGATGGAAGACCTCTCTCTCTCTCTCTCTGCCTCTACTTCTCTCTCTGTGTATTTCTGCCTTTCAAATAAATAAATCTTTTTTTTTTTTTTTTAAAGTGTGGAGTGGATAGAGGACTTGAGTGTAGAGAATTGTCCAGAGACAAATAGGGAGGAGATGGCTGGTGGAGGGAGCTCTGTGTGGGAGGAGCCAGGAAGGGTGGGAGCAGAGCCCCCGGCTTGGAAACAACAGCATCTTCTTGGAGGACAGCTTCCCCTGACTCAGAAGGCCAGGATATTGAGACAGGATGGGAGGGCCCACTGAGGGAATGACAGTGACAGAGGCCAATGTGGAAGGGCTCTGGGAGATGGGAAATGAGGGCAGTTCAGCTGTGTACCCTGAGGGTGATGGCCTGTGACAGCCTGTGCAGCTCACGCTCCAGAAGACTCCCCATTCCACAGCTGGCCAGGCTCGGACTGGCAGGTTTGATATTGTGTCTGTGTGCCTGTGTAGCAAATAGTGGCTATTTTTCCAGCATCTTTTAGGGGTCCAGCCTCCTTACTACTGGCTCCTGGGGCTGCCCCCCACTGAAGGGTCCTTCTACCAAAGTTGAGGAAGCAGATTATCCACTTCCTGCCTACACCAGCACCTTGCAGCCTGGCCTCTGGGGTCTCCTGGGTGTCTACCCCTTTCCATTTCTTCTGCAAACTTTTTAGGCCATTCCATTTTTTTTCTGCCTTAAGAAACCAGTCCCATGTTGGATACATTTGCCACAGTTATTTCTTGTCATCTCTCTTCATTGGTCCTTACTCCAGCTACACAACAAATCGATACCATCATCCACACGGGCAGTCCTGTGGTGCTGTATGAACAGAGGATTCTGTAGGTGGAGGTTTATCTCCTCTGCTTTATAAATACAGTCTTCTCACAGCTGTGCCTCACTCATGCTCATCCCCAGAGAGGTTTGGTTTTGTTTCATTTAGTCCCACAGGTGTTATTAAGTTCTTTCTCCTCCTGTTCTTGTTATTTAAACACAAAGGCAAATATATAGATGGACATATGTTATTTTGCCTGCCCCTAGCATGTCCTATTCAGTGTGTTTCTGGTGGGGCTGTCCATCCCATCCTCCCACACAATCCCTGTCTACAGGGATAGGTAAGTGACCTGGCTTGGCCAATTATATCAGCCTGTTCTGGCAACATCTGACTTTATAATTGGAGATTCTCATTTGCAGCTGGTCTTCAGTTAAAGCAACACAAGTTTGGGGCTCCAGGTGGTGTTTTCTCCAGTTGTGTGCTTGAAGTCCATTTCAAGGGGAGAAGAAGAGGCTCTCAGAAGGAAAGCAGAGATCAAGGATAGAAAGAGAGTCCCAATGACATGGACTGAAACCCCCATGTCTAGCACCGCCTGGGGCCACACATGTCTTCTCTGTTTAAGCAGGTGAATTTTTCTACTGTCGCTTCCAAGTGGATAAATCTTGACAGAATAACACCTTTAAAAATTAGAAGGAAGGCAGTAAATTTTAATTATGGAATATAGGGACAAGCAAACTGGAAAAACTCAAATTATTTCTGAGCCTATTTTTCAGTTGCTTAAGAAAATGGTATATCAGGGTTGGTGCTGTGGCATAGATGCTAAAGCCACTGCCTGCAGTGCCAGCATCCCATATGGGCACTGGTTTGAGTCCCAGTTGCTCTACTTCCTATCCAGCTCCCTGCTAATGCTCCTGGGAAAGCAGCAGAAGACGGCCCAAGTCCTTGGATCGCTTTACCCATGTGGGAGACCTGGAAGAAGCTCCAGGCTCCTGGCTTCAGATCGGCCCAGCTCTGACAGTTGCAGCCATTTGGGGAGTGAACCAGCAGATGGAAGATCTCTCTCTCTCTCTCTCTCTCTCTCTCTCTCTGACTCTACCTCTCCTTCTCTCTCTGTAATTCTGCCTTTCAAATAAATAAATAAATCTTTAAAGAAAAAAAAGAACTGACAAAATCTTTGATAAAAATAAGTTTTATATATATATATGTTTGTGTGTGGTTGTGTTGTAGATTATAAAAGTGGGTCACACATTCTCCCATGCAGACAGCAGGTCCCTTTGCAATGTGTGTTCCCTGTTCCTCCTTTGCAGAGATGGATTTTATTTTTTTAAAGATTTATTTATTATTTTAAAGTCAGAGTTACACACACACACACAGAGAGAGAGAGAGAGAGAGAGAGAGAGGTCTTCCATCCAATGGTTCACTCCCTAGATGATTGCAACGGCCAGAGCTGAGCTGATCCAAAGCCAGGAGCCAGGAGCTTCTTCTGGGTCTCCCACATGGGTACAGGGCCCAAGGACTTGGGCCATCTTCCACTGCTTTCTCAGGTCATGGCAGAGAGCTGGATCGGAAGTGGAGCAGCTGGGTCTCAAACGGGCGCTCATATGGGATGCCAGCGCTTCAGGCCAGGGCGTTAACCCGCTGCACCACAGCGCCAGCCCCCCCAGAGATGTTTAGTTCTCTCTCCCTTGAAGCTCGGCCACTTTGCTTACCAGAATGTTAGAATGCAGCAGGAGAGATATGTGATATGCAGAGGCCAGTCCAGCCTCTGGAGGATGAGGCCAAGATGGCCCCACCCACAACCAACCAAGGCCATGCCAGGTTCATGGGTGAGGCCATTTTGAACCTTTCAGCCCAGCTCTCCCTGCACCTGAATGTGACCGTGGAGGAACAGCCCAGGTTACCCCGAGAGTCCCAAGGAATACTAAATCTCAGTTGTTGTTTTTTTTTAAGGTTCATTTGTTTTAGTTGAAAGGCAGAATTAGAGAGAGAGGGAGACACACACACACACACAGAGAGAGAGAGAGAGAGAGAGAGATCGATCGATCGATCTTCCATCCAATGGTTCACTCCCTAAATAGCTGCAACAGCCAGGGCTGGGCCAGACTGAAGCCAGGAGCCAGGAGTTTCTTCCCAGTCTCCCACGTGGCTGCCGGGACCCAAGGACTTGGGTCATCTTCCACTGCTCTCCCAGGTACATTAGCAGAGAGCTGGATCAGAAATGAGGCAGCCGGGACTCAAACCAGCACCCATTATGGGATGCCAGAGTTGCAGGCAATGGCTTTACCCACTACACCACAAAAACACCAGACCCCAACCTTAGTTGTTTTAAACCACTAAGTTCTGGAGTGAATTATGCAGCAAAAGTTCCTTGAAACAGATTGTGTCCTGTATCTCTCAGAAAACTCACACACGACCATTTCTTACACAGCATCCAATATTTGTGCAAGCATTAGAAACCAACTCTAGGTGTAGGCTTCCGGTCTAGTGGTTAGTAGCATGCTTGTTGGGACATCTGCAATCAGCATCCAAGTGCTGGGGTTCAACTCTGGGCTCCAGTTTCCTGCTAAGGCAGACCTGGGGAGGCAGGAAAGACAGCTCAAGTGATTGGGTTCCTGCCACTCACGTGGGAGACCTGGATTGAGTTCCTGTGGGCACGTGGGGAGTGAAGCAGCAAATGGGAGCACTATCAAACAACAAAACAAAAACCAAACAAAAACCCTCTATGTGCCTGCAGTAAGAACAAAGTAGAGCAGGGGACCGGCTTCTGTGGAGGTGTTAACAGCTGAAGCCTTCTGGCCCAGTAACTTCAAGTTCTCAGAACTCTGGCTCCTCCCAGTTGGGTCAGTGCCCACCTCAGGATCTTTTAGTTAAGGGGGAGGATGGGAGAGAGAGGAAAAGCGGCGCGCATAGAAATAAAAACACAAGGTGAATCCACAACAACCCCAGAATGGAAGCCAGGATGGGTTGGCTCATTCGCTTCAGGGCCTGTTTCTTCCCTGGGAAATGGGTTTTGATTCTTCTAAACTTCTTTCAAATTTTTTTCACAGTTACTGTATCAAACCGCCTCCTTTTTTTTTTCCCCTCCTTAAGGGAACAGGTGTTTGAAACTGTTAACAACAAACAGGGCAACACTGTATTTTTCCACACCTTACAACTGAATTTGTGCGAAGACCAGACCGGTAGACTTCCAGCCGGGACACCCAGTGTCTCCGGGGGCGGCATCCCTCACGGGACACAAGGAGCTTCTGCCGCCCACAGGTGCCTTCTGCCGGGTGATGCTTGCCTGGGACAGCGCCTGCCGGGGCATGGGTGGCCCGGGGACCCGGACCTGGGTCCCTGGGCTGCCAGATTCGCTGCACTCCGGCTCCGCGCGCTCTGCACGGAGCCAGCCGCCCCCTTGGCGCGAGGCGGAGAGCCCGGGGCCCCGGAGCGCGCGGGGGAGGCGTCTACTCCCCGGGACTGAGGCGGCGCCTTCGCCTCCCGGTTGCTGCAGGAACGCGGGCTGCCGCGCCGACGGCGACATCTTGCTGGAGAGGAAAGCACAGCGCAGAGCGGGCCGCGCTTGAGCTGCTGCGCCACGCGCATCGCGGGCAGGCCTGAGTGCGGGTCGCGGGGCCGGGCTGGCACGGCAGGAAGAGGTAAGGCCGCCCGTCACCCCTCCGGCCCGCAGGCACTTCCCGAGAGGACCTCGGGTCCACTCGGGCCCCTGCCCTGCGCAGTCCCTGTTTCACTCCTCCCTCTCGGCTCAACTCCAGGTCTCCGCGGCCGCCTTGGCCCAGTCGCCCCCTGCCCGCAGCCACCGGACCCGACCGCCTCGGAGACCTGTTCCCCCCCAGCCCCCTTCGCCCCATCCCTGCCTGGCTCGCCCCTGCCCCCGCTGTCCCGGTCGCCCCGCCCCGTGCCAGGCCCCGGGCACCGTCTCCCGCCCGCTGGGCTCCGCCCCGCCCCCGCCTCTCCGCCCCCGCCCGCCCCATCCGGGCGGGGCTCCGGGTTTAAACGTCGCGGCGGGCCGGGCCGGCCGAGGGGCGGGGCGGGCCTCTGTGTCGAGTCCCCGGCCCGTAGGCGGCGGCAGAGGCGGCGCAGCGCGGAGCGGCGGACGCCCGGGGCCGGCGGTGGCACCATGTCCCCGGGAAGCGGGGTGAAGAGCGAGTACATGAAGCGCTACCAGGAGCCGCGCTGGGACGAGTACGGGCCCTGCTACCGGGAGCTGCTGCACTACCGCCTGGGCCGCCGGCTGCTCGAGCAGGCGCACGCGCCCTGGCTCTGGGACGACTGGGGCCCAGGCGGCTCCTCGGACGACTCGGCGTCGTCGTCGGCAACGTCGGGCGCCCCAGCGGCTCCCGCGCTCCGGTGCGCCCCGGCCTCGCCCCCGCCGCCCGCGGAGTCCGCTGCGCTGGAGGAGCCGGCGCGGCGCGCGCGGGGGCCCGCGGAGGAGCCGGACACCGAGGCCAGGGACACCGAGGCCAGGGACGCCGAGGCGCAGGAAGCGGAGGACGCGACCGTGCCAGGTACGGAGCCCGGAGCGGGCGCGCGGGGTCCTCCGCCGAGGGGCTGGTTCGCTTTGCGCTTCTAGACCGCCAGTGTCTGTGGCTGCGCTCGGGCAAGATGCGTTTTTTGGGGGAGTGGGTGGGCAGATGGAGAATCCGCCTCCGTTGACAAAACAGGGGAGGTGTGGGCCCCGCCTCTGCGCTCCCACCCTTATTTCCCTAATTAGGCCGAGCCCGCTCCGACTCCGGAGCCGCCCTGACCTGTATCCGTTTCTCGGAGCCAGTTCGCGATAAGTCAGCTTCTCAGGCGCCCCTGCTGGATGAGAGTCCGCAGCTAAGCGTTCTCAATGGGGCCGTTGTGTGCCGCAGGAGCACCCTGAGCTCGCCGCGCTGTCCCTGTGGAGGACTTGGCGCCCGCGCGCGCCGCCGGGCCTGGGCGCCGTGCTCTGTACCGGCGCTGGCTGGGGGTCTCGGCGGCGCGCCCACCTCGCCGACGCTGGACCAGGGCTCCTTGGCGTCGTTACGTCTCCTGCCCGGAGTGATGCAGAGCCGGGAGCGCCTGGGTGCAGCCTGGAGCGGCTGTTTGCTGCTGCCCGGAAACCCTGATCTGGCGCCACCGCGGGCTCGCAGGTGCTAGCGAGGAAGAATAACAAGATTGAGTGACAGCTTATGCGTTCAGCATGTAGCCTTGTGTGCCTTCTCAGTAAACCTTCGGGGCCATCCTAGGAGGCAGGGCCACCATTTTTGTGGTTGTTTTTTAATCGATGATGAAATGGAAGCTCAGGACAGGTGATGAGTGACTTTTTGGCTTGCCTGCCAGGCTGACTCTCTTATGGGGCATCTCTGTGAGATGCTGAGAAACAGACGAAGGCCGTGCCCTATTGAGTTCGTCTCCGTTCCTCTGTGGCACAGCTGCCTCCCGGTCCTCGGGGCTCTTGTGAATTCTCACTGATTTCCTGATGCGTCAGCCGTCATTGTAACAGAAGGTGCAGGGGGTGGGGGGACTCTGCCTTCCAGATTATTCCGTGGGCACCGAGCTTGCTAGCTAAATTATGAAATATTCTCGATCAAGCTGGGATTCTTCTCTTTCTGCTCTCTCCCCCTTCATTGTGTGGCAAGGAGTTGCTGAATATTTGTGTGCACTATCCAGACAACTTTTAGGCGGTGTTGTGGTGTGGAGGGGGCCTGTGTTTGCCTGTTCGGGTGTGCTCTGTGTTCATGATGATTTTCAGTTGTTTAGAGATATGGAATCTTCCCAGTGGATTCAGCTAGCTAGCCTCCTTCCTTCCAAAATTCATTCCTGGGCCAGGCCAGAGCCAGGAACTCCATCCAGGTCTCCCTCCTGGGTGGCAGGGACCCAAGTACACGATGGGGTGTCATCTGTTGCCTCCCGAGTGTGCCAGCAGGATGCTGGATGGGAAGCAGAGGCGGTGAGAATTGATCCCAGGCACTCCAATATGAGATGCTGGTATTTAGCCCACGACTTAGCCAGCTGCGCCAACATGCCTGCCTCCACTTTTTTTTCTCTCCTAGAATTTTAAAATTTTAACTTTAGCATCGGAGAAAAGAAGGGATGTTTTCTGCTTCCAGTATTGACGATTGTCAAGATCATTTGCCGGCTCCTAGTTAGCAAAGTCCTTGCTTCCTGCGTTGGGCAAGATTAAACGTCCTTGTCTTCAAGTCGATGATTTCATATGCTAGAGTGATAACCACTCTCTTGAGTTTCTGTACACTACGTTTGTTCTCTTCCCTGTGTATATGTACACAAAGCTTATTACAAAAAGACAGCAACTCCCGCACACGTAAAGGTGACCTACTTCTTAGCAATGGCTTTCAATTTCCCGATTTTTCCTTTGGTATTTATTTCTCTATTTCTAAGTTACATAGCTGTTGTGGATTTTTTTATTTTTCATTTTTTAAAAGATTTATTTGAAAGGCAGAGTTAAAGAGAAGCAGAGAGAGAGAGAGAGAGAGAGAGAGAAGTCTTCCATCTGCTGGTTCACTCCCCAGATGGCTGCAATGGCCGGAGCTGAGCTGATCTGAAGCCAGGAGCTTCCTCTGGGTCTCCCACGTGGGTACAGGGATCCAAGGACGGGCCGTCTTCCACTGCTTTCCCAGGCCATAGCAGAGAGCTGGATCAGAAGTAGAGCAGCTGGGATTTGAACCAGTGTCCTAATGGGATGCTGGCGCCACAAGCGGCGGCTCTACCCACTGTGCAACAGCACAGCCCAATTTTTCGGTTTTTAACATTACCCATTGTAACCCAGCCAGATTTTCTTAGGGCTTCTCTGTGAGATGCCAAGGAGGAGCCGAAGGTTTGACTGAGAATCGGGTTGCCCGTTCTTGGGTGTGCCATCTTGAGTTCTCTGTTCCTCTGTGGCATTTAATTCTTTTAATTATTCTGTCCCATCTGAACAGCCCATCCCCACACCATGTCAATATAGTCATCCTTGTTAGAGTGACAGTTTGTATCCCCACTGCTGTGCCTGTGGGAAACGTTCCTCAAAGCTGACCTGCATCGTTTCCCTTGAGCCCTGTCTCCTTGTTTCACGGCGTAACCAACCTGACCTGCCCACTGTTGCTCTTGTCACCCTGAGCCTCTGGCCCACTGCTGCCCTGCCTGGCTGGTGTCTTGGAACAGTCCACAGGGACCTCCCAACTTTGACCATTGCTGTGTGGCTGGCACTCAGGTCCCCCTCCTCCTGGGTTTACCACCCTGCCCCCACACCCTTGGTGGGACTCATCTTCTTGGTGGTTGCCTGAGAAAGTCTGAGAGGTTAAGTTTCTGAGGCCTTACGTTTCAGAAGAGAGCTTACTTTATTCTGCTCTTGCAATTCCAGGAGTGTGGCTGGGCAGGGAGTTTTGAGCTGGAAGTCATTGTGTCTGACATCTGGAGTCATTGCTACCCACACTGCCAATGCAGGCTTGCTGTTACACTTCTGCGTCGTTGAGTCTTGGTCCTCGTAGGTGCCATGTTTGGTTTGCTCTTGCTCTGCTCTTGGCCAGTGATCTAGATCTGTTTACCTCTGCTGCGCTGGGCCCCGGGCAGGTCCTTACAATCAGACTCATGTGTTTGATTCTGACAAGTTCTCTCCTTTCCGTTTCTTTCCTGAGTTTTTAATTGGCTATTAGACTCCACAAATTTATCCTTTAATTTTCTAGCTTCCTCCCAATTTTCATCTTTTTGTTCCTTTTTTTTTTTTGGTGATGTTCTCAATCTAAGTCTAAGTCTTTTTTAACATTTTTCTAAGTCTTCAATAACTTTTTCACTTCGAGGATCCTGTTTGGTTTTTAAATTTTTTAAAAGATTTATTTATTTATTTATTTGAAAGAGTTACACAGAGAGAGGAGAGGCAGAGAGAGGAGAGGCAGAAAGAGAGAGAGGTTTTCCAGCCGATGGTTCACTCCCCAACTGGTCACAATGGCCAGAGCTATGCCAATCTGAAGCCAGGAGCCAGGAGCTTCTTCTGTGTCTCCCACATGGGTGCAGGGGCCCAAGGACTTGGGCCATCTTCTACTGCTTTCCTGGCCCATAGCAGAGAGCTGGACAGGAAGCAGAACAGCCGGGTCTCAAACCAGTGCCCATATGGGATGCCGGCGCTTCAGGCCAGGGTGTTAACCCACTGCGGCACAGCGCCAACCCCACCCCTGATTTTTTTTTTTTTTTTTAAATTCAACAGCCCTTGAATCGTTTTCTAGAAATAAATACCTGGTTCTTGGTTCACACAGATGGTATCTTCTCTTTTTGAAGATCTCATTAGAATGTGTGTTTCTTTTTTTCAGGTGTTTCTTTGGTATAATCTGTTTCACTTCTTGTTTGTTTCTTTTTTCTTGTAAGTGTATTTCATGTTAGATGCTTGTTGCAAATTTTGAAGGGTACTTGGCTTCTCCATCTTACTAAAGGGATATGGGTACTAAACCATGTGGGCAAGTTCCCTGCTTGTGTGTGCGTTGGGGGTTGAGGGTTGGGGGTACTTGCTTACTGTGGGATTCCTTCACTCCTGGAACCAGCGATCTGTAAAGAGTGGCCTAGACTTTTCCCGGTTCCTTACTTCACAGTCACACTTCTTTTTCAATAAGTTTTTGAAAATTTGCTTAGAATAAAAAAAGCAATCCTGCCTCTTTTTATGCTCATGCTCTCTACTCCTTCCAAATCCTTTCAACATTGCCCATCCTCCTCTTTCTTTAAATTTTAAACATTATATATTGACCTCCCATTATATGAGATAGAGAGGGAGGGAGAGGGAGAGATTGATTTAGCTCAAGGTCTTAGCTCTAACACCCCCAACTCCACCCCAGATATACACCAACACCAACACTCAAAACAGCTTGAGTTTTCTTTTGTTTTGTTTTTGACAGGCAGTGTGGACAGTGAGAGAGACAGAGAGAAAGGTCTTCCTACCATTGGTTCACCCTCCAATGGCCACTGCGGCCGGCGCACCGCGCTGATCCAAAGCCAGGAGCCAGGTGCTTCTCCTGGTCTTCCATGCGGGTGCAGGACCCAAGCACTTGGGCCATCCTCCACTGCCTTCCCTGGCCACAGCAGAGGCTGGACTGGAAGAGGAGCAACCAGGACAGAATCCAGTGCCCCAACTGGGACTAGAACCCGCGGTGCCGGTGCCGCAGGTGGAGGATTAGCTTGTTGAGCCGCGGCACTGGCTATGAGTTTTGTTTAATCACTATTCTGTGTTTGAATATTTGCAGATGAGCCCTGGCATATTCTGATATTTTCTCTATTATATTAAGTGAATCATTGCTTCATTTTCTTGCTTGCTTTCCAAAAAAATAATCCTGACATCAGTTCAGCCTGAGACAGTCTGATTGAACTGTAAAACTGGCCATATTTCAGATGCATCAAATGTTCTTTTATTTGATCTTTTTTTCCTTGGAGACTTTTTTTGGAGCCCTTGATCTTCCTGTTCCGACCTAGACTCTGATGCTTAGATCTGGCATAGCTGCTGAACTGGGCCTGGTCCTTACTGCTCACCTGAGACTTCATTCCTCTCATCCCGTCGACTGCC